GTAGTTATGCTCCGAGTTTCACATTCCTATTTCTGCCCGATTCGCTAGGTAAAAAAAAAATTACTCGAGAACGCCAACCCCTCGTGGCATGCAACCTAAATTTTTAAAATTATTTTTCCTTAATTCGGTGTCTCAATAGGCACGTCTATCCCGAGTTTCAGCTTTCCATGTCTCTCCCTTTGGCTGAAGCAAACATATTTGAAAATATCTCTCCCCTAATTGGGTGCCGCAGGGTATGTACCTCCAAAGTCGGATCTTCTCTGAACAATACATCCCAATAGCTAATTTTGCCCGAGTTTCATATTTCTAACTTCTCTAGAACATGGTTGGAATTAGCCTCACTCACTGACTCACTTAGTCGCATGTGTCATTGCATCACGCATGCAAATTTCTTCAGCCATCTTCTATGTGGTTTCAGGTGCTCCCAGAGGACTTGATTTGTATATATTGAATAACTAAGGATTTGACAATAACAATTTTGAGTCCGTGTTTGAAAACAATCTCCACCATTCTATAGCGAGCATTAGGCTTTTCTCCCAATCTGACTCACCCACGTTTTTCGTCTTCCTCTTCCCATGCTTCCGTGCTCCATGATAATGTTTGCTACGCTCTATTAGATAATACATTTTAGTACTGGTTGAATATGTGATAAAAAGGTGATAACGTGGGGATTGTAGCTGTGAACTCGTATCAGAATCGGTGGTTCTCTTCTACTGTAATGGAAAGCGAAATAAATGTGACGTCTTCACAAGATGCATAACAATTCATCTGCACTCCTTCCAACATTAAAAACGAGCGCTAACTCTGTGTCCATCATTTTAGCTACCACAATAACGACGATAATGAAGTTGCATCATTCGTACGATTTCTGGCAGGAGTTTTCCCGATTTGAATTGACTGGCCGTATGTGGAGAATTCCAAACCAAACTCTCATTAAAAATAAGCATTCAACAACTCAGAAGCAATTATAGGCATCAAGACACCCCACCCCTCCCTATTTACCACCCTTATCTAGGGGTATACCTTGGATACAAAGTACCTGTTATACAGCCTTGCGATAAGAGCCGAGTGCTCCTATATCGGAGTAACGTTGGACTTACTACAGCCGCGCTTCCATATGCCTGTGATGAAATTCTGAGAACTTCACTCATCCTTGGAGGTAAGAAATTGTTCTTTCATTTTCTCGTGGTCAAGAATTCCAGAATGGATGACCGGACCCTTTATGCTGCAGGTGCACAATACACGTT